CAACTTTTTGTTAGAAACCGCAAGTCCAATTGCTTTGATATTACATACATAGATACTACAAGTGGACCTCTCTCAAATTTGTTCATTTTGTAATGATATCTTTAATTCTCTAATTTTGGTGAATATTTTTGTAATTTTTGATAAAAAATTATATATGTCCCGTTGCTTTGGTACTTTGCATATTGTTCATTTTCTAATGATATCTTCTGTTCTTTAATTGAAATGTGCATTGCTAACAGCGGAGATATCTCAGCCGACAGGCTGCTTGTTATTGTTCAAAAAAGTAAAACAATAATCAAAATAGATGATTGATGATCAGGTTTCATGACTAGTCATTCAAATTTGGCAAATTTCAAACAAACAAATTTCAAACCCAAAATGTACAAATTTACAAAAGTATTTAGAGAGTGGGCACTTAATCAGACATTAAGTTAGGTTGAATACAATAGTGCATTGTACACAAAAACCATCTTCCATATCTTGGACTACATAACTAGACTATGTGACTGACTTCCTATCATAATGACACTGTAATTGGCAAGTTATTTCAACATCCAGCCATCAAGCGGCTTGGTAACAACCAACAATGCTTTCAGTGATTGTTTCGGTATGTCTGTGCTTATTTAGTAATATGTGTATACATGTTTTGTACAGGTTGACAGGAGACTAGTTGGCACTCATTACTCTCTAATGCTTGGTTTATATGGACCACCTGGATTAGCCGCACTTATTGGTATTAGGGAGAAAGGTCATCTCGTCCCGGATGCAAATCAGACGTTTGTTGTAAGCGCGGCCGCTGGTGCATGTGGATCGCTGGCTGGACAGGTAATATAATGGTTGATCCTTGGAATTTAATGAGCTTGTTATTTATAATGCGAATCAGACGTTTGTTGTTAGTACAGATGCTGTTACGTGTTGATTGATGACTGTGCAAATGGAAAATTCATAAATTTGTTATTTGTGATGCAAATCAGATGTTTGTATTTAGTGCCACTGCTAGTGCTTAATATTTTGTCATGGTCCAAAGTAGATGTATATGCTCTTTCAACTCATTGAAGGGAGACTCCGCTTTCCTATTGCACCAGTGCATCATGGAACATGTAATTTGAGTGACTCAACCATTATTTATTATGTATACAAATATAAATTATACATCTTAGTTAAAAATGTTGAAAAACAATAACAAGGTAAATTCAAAAAGTGCAGATTGCAGAGTAAATACATGTAGAAGGAAACAGAGTCTATTTTTTCGTGCGAATAATGTCTAAATTTGCTCACATTGTCGAGAATGGTATAGAAGTATCTTCGGAATAAATATTGAATGCATTGGTGTTTTGGGTGCTTACCATGAGCTAAGCGCTCGAACACACTTTGTTAGCCTGTGCTAAGAATCTAAACTAGTCAAATTTTTCATACTTATGCTGTACTAAACGTTTTCTTAGCACAGGCATTTTAATCTCTTAGCCCATGCATGGAGGTAATCTCTTTTTACCTCCATGGCCCATGTTAAGGAGCTGTGCACAAAGGCAACTATAGTCACTGACAGTTGGATTAATGCTTTGATTTAAACAAATCTGTCATTGAAAGATCAAAGTCATTTTAAAAATCCAATTTTCTTCAACTTATCGGTAAGAACTGTGCTTAAATCTTGTCTAACTAGTAAACTAACTAACATAATGGCCATGATTATATATGACAGAATATTTTATAAAAAGGTGCACTTTGACCAGATACATCCCTCTAGTGTGTGATTTGCATACTGAAATCAGGGTGCCATCTTTTTAGCTCTGCTGTCGACTTTGTCGAGCGGAGCTTATCATATGAGTGATTGTCCATCGTCCGTGTCAATGTTTTACTTTTTCGACTTCTTCTTGAAAACTACAAGCCTGAATGCTTTGATACTTGGGGTAGACCTCTTAGATTTGTTCATTTCATGATGATATCTTCAATTCTCTAATTTTGGTGAATATTTTTGTAATTTTTGGTAAAAAGTGATATTTTCGACTTCTTGTTAAAAACCGCAAATCCAATTGCTTTGATATTACATACATGTGGACCTTTCTCAGATTTGTTCTTTTCGTGATGATATCTTCAATTCTCTAATTTTGGTGAATATTTTTGTAATTTTTGGTAAAAAGTGATATTTTCAACTTCTTGTTAAAAACCGCAAATCCAATTGCTTTGATATTACATACATGTGGACCTTTCTCAGATTTGTTCATTTCGTGATGATATCTTCAATTCTCTAATTTTGGTGAATATTTTTGTCATTTTTGGTAAAAAGTGATATTTTCAACTTCTTGTTAAAAACCAAAAGGCCAATTGCTTTGATATTACATATATAGGTACTGCATGTGGACCACTCTCAAATTTGTTCATTTCATGATGATATCTTCAATTCTCTAATTTTGATGAATATTTTTGTCATTTTTGGTAAAAAGTGATATTTTCGACTTCTTGTTAAAAACCGCAAGTCCAATTGCTTTGATATTACAAATATAGGTACTACATGTTAACCTCTCCCAGATTTGTTCATTTCATGATGATATCTTTAATTCTCTAATTTTGATGAATATTTTTGTCATTTTTGGTAAAAAGTGATATTTTCGACTTCTTGTGAAAAATTCTGATTGTTTTAAGGTAGAGATGCAGTTTATTTGGCTTGCTTTTTAATTGAGTAATTAGACAATGAAGATGGTATTATATATCCAACATGTTATATATTTTCTAAAAGCTTATTATACAAACTTTGTAAAATTTGTTTTTATTTCAAATATCCAGAATGCGTTTTTGATTTTGGATCAAAAATGTGCTTTTTTGGACAAAAGTGGTTTAAAAAAAATTAGCTTAAAAACTTCAAGTCCGTTTGTGGGTAAAATTACATCACTGGATACCTTGGTATACTACTAATTCAAATGCGTCCATTCATCTCTCTAACGGCTTTCAAAGTCGCACAGCATGACCTCAAAGTTCACTCTTTTCTATTTTTGCATAATTTATATATCCATGTTAATTGCGGACTTGTTATTTTTGTTCCACTCGCCGTAATAAACTGTCCGGACGCATTTTGAAGGGGGAACACCTTGTCAATAATGTGTGAAAATTTCGAGGCAAATGGCCAAAGCGTCTATCAGCTATTTTAATTTAAAACCCAAGAATTCACCAAAAATAGAAGACGAGAAAAAGGCTAATTTGCATATTTGCGCGTTAAACCGGGAATTACTGCTTTGTCATACTTTCTAGACTATTGAAGTTGAAAGTTAACGTATAGACATAGACATTTTATGTAAAATCGTTGGACCAGAACAACTGCTTTTGAATATATAAATCAGAAACACGTCATTCATACCAGTGTTTTGATGGGGTCGGTAAAAACACATGTCAATGCCCAGTAAATATGACGTCATCTCATGAATTATTAAACAGGGGGCGATCCTAGGAAGGTGACCTTTTATCACGATCAAAACATCATGGCTTCTCTTTGATGTATTTTCAATAAAAAATGGTTTATCGTGAAGAGTACAAAGTGGGACGGTCGCCTGCAAGAAGAGAGCTCCAGCTCCTAACGTAAAAGTTTTAAAATTTCGACCGGTTTTAAATAATTAGTGTTGGAAATCTGACATGTTTTAAAAGTGCAAAATTAAGGTGCATTTTCGGGCGGTCGAATTTTTCTGAATAGAAATCAGAAAATGAAAAAAATAGGAGTGCTAAACAGTGTGTTAGTTAGTTTAAAAAAAATGGAATGTCCGTCAAATTGACGTAAACTTCCCCATTTTTCACGGGAAAAAGCAAAGGTCGTGGCCGAGTTGCAGGCTAAAAAACTCAAAAATCAAAACAAAATCATCAATCAGTAAGTATTATGACAAGGAAAACAAAACATCAGACGCGGAGAAGCGGTCAGC